GCTGGCTCACTGCTGCCAACTAGTGGTCAGAGGCTGAACTACAAAATAAAAATGAATGGCTGGCAGGAAAGTTGACGTTTTAAACCTTAATAAAAAATCGAAATAGGGCTTTAGAATATAGATACAGTATCGGGAAATGAAATATCGCGATATTTCAGTGTATCGATATTTTCTTACACCCCTAATTATGAACATTACTAGATGACAACTTCACTTGCATGCTTTTGACTTTAAATCCGTTACACTGTGTTCTAAAGTAATTACAAACAGGCTTTTAGGTAGGATTTAGGAAGAGGGTGTTTACACTTTAGGCCAGTGGTGYTTTCATTGCCTCCCTGCTGATGAATGTTTCACAACTTACGGACAAGTGGAAAAACAACAGAACAACGTACGGATAAGGAAGGTAGATTGTAGCTACAACAGCTACTAAAGCTGTTAAAGTGCTACAAACCTCCTCCATCTAAGCCCGGCACAATTTATTCTTTGTGTCTTCCTCTGACATMATAAAATTGCGGTCCATGSTCAGTGCRCACTCGCTGTTGGAGCTGAAWCAAAGTTTTGYCAAGATTCAAGGCCTGCCCACCCCACCCTAATTTAGTTTGGCTTTTAGAACTCTCTATTGTGTTTAATAGAGAAAGGTTTATCTCATCCAGAGAAATGTCTGTTAAATCTAGTCAAATCCGCTAATCGGCATGGCGCACTGAGAGTGCTTTTATATGGAAGTGGAGCCTCTCAAAACTGAAATAGGGAGTTGCAAAACCACAGTGGGTGTTAAAACGATGCCCTGACGCCCCTCTATCTAAAAGCCTGCTTACCAAGGTTCTTTGAAACCCACCTTTTCCACATTGTGGAGTTGCAGCACATCTTTACTAACACAATATGCCACGGCTCGCGTTATCTCCTTACTTACCATTCATCTTAGACAGGTTGACTGAGTGCCTTGTGGTGGTGTTTCAGGTGATTAAACAATTTTGTAGTGTTATGGGCTTCTCCGCTCCCCCTGCCGCCATTGTTGTTATGTTATGGTAGTGCTGGGCGGTATACCGTTTTGTGCCGAATACTGGTTTTTATTTTTGTTATGATATGAATTTTTTGAATACTGGACATTCCGGTTTAAATAGCGGAACGTTTCGTCGCGGCCGCCAGTGAACTGTTGTTTCCCAGGGGACATTTTTCCTTGCTGCACCGCTATGTGCGTTAGCATGCTAATGTTTGGAGCAGCTAGTTGCAGCAGCGGGTGGCGATTCCGCTGCTTATATTGACTGACATTTAAAAAAACATCCCGTTTTCTCCATCGCTGAATGTAGTAAACACCTCTTCAGTGACGTGCACAGTTAGATTTAACACAGTTAGTTAAAATGGAGACGTTATGCTGATGGAGACTTAACGTGGTTCTATTGTGAAAAGCCTGCAGGAAGTAGTTCRTWGTGRAGTTGGAATTGACTGGTGTGCAAGGTGAGTCGTGCTGATAAGCTTTAATA